GCAGATCAATTACTCATTGTCTACCCACACATTACATTCCCCTCTTTTATATACCAGCCTACCCTATATCTAGTAATTACTAGAGCATTCGCCAAAGTACAGGATAGTTCTAGAAACGTGGCGTCACGGTGGTCATGTGACTCGCTGACGCAACAATATATTATACATTTTCCACTAAGTTCATGATCTCGTGAAAGATTGTACCAATCACGTAAGCCAAATTAGAATATCTATTCGTAACTAACAGGAACTAGAGTGTAAGAATTTGACTAAGGTTATTGGTGAGAGATGCAATTCTTCCAAATCAACCAAAATCAGGGAAGTGTGGCAAATCAAAGAACAGACTAGGTCTCACGTTTCTTTTTTTTGGGTGGGGGCTAAAATACCAAAGTTTTGTGGCAATGCGGTACTTTCAAGGACGAATGATTCCACTCAAAGCAACAAGATATGTCCACTCAATAATAGATTCAACACAACATTTATGTGAAGTATTTTTATGTTCTTTCACTACTGAAGTCATAATAAATAATCTTTTTTTTAAACACAGTTGAAATGTATGCTTAACTGGTCATAAAGGACAGTTACCTTTACTAGATTTAGTACTAAATCAGTGACTTCAAGTTCGAAACTGTATCTCTCCAGATTATTCTAGACTGAATCTCTTGAAATATTCTAACAAACTGAATAATTCTCATATTAGGCTTAAACTGATAACTTCAGCTGGCCATTCCCGAATGAAATACAAGATAGGTCGTTAACTCCATAGGTCACCTTACCACCAGTAGAAAAGATAACTAGCTTCACGTACCATTAGTGACCTTACAACTAGCTTTCCCACAAGAAGACTAAAGGTGCAACTCTAGGTGAATGGCACAGAACAAGGGATGGCTAAAGTGAAAGGAATTTAACCATATTCTTGACCAAACTGGTGTGAAAACATCACAAAATAACAAAATTTGAAAAGTTCTATATTACTGATACAGGGAGATGGAAAATACTTAATATGTTTACATATGACATTTCTCCTGCCACCTTTACTTCAGGTTGTCTATGTCTATGACAGTTATTTTGGTGTAAAGTTAATAGTTTAGAGAAAAACTATTAATCACCAAGGATGTTTGAAGATTAGCAATCCTCCTTCACCCTGCTCGAGGTTAAAGATTAGAAGTTCGTAAAGTGGCCATTGTTCTAACGAACCAAGTGGGGAAAAAATGAATTTAAATATATATATATATATATATAAATGAAAATTGGATGCACACACACACACATATACATCATATATATCTGCATCTATACACACATGCACTGGTGGTAATATTGAAGCAAGTGAATTTCAGGCTTGTCCTCAAGCCTACATATATATATATGATAGTATGAGAAAAATATAATATTTCAAGCAGCATGCTTACTAGACAATATGGACAATTTATCAGCAAAAATGTTATATATTGTTACGACAGCGGAAGTCACGCGACGCTAGGAGCATGCGCGCTGGAGTTTCTAGAAGGATCGTGACTTAGCGGGCAACCTGACGAATGTCCCAGCGTTTGCTAGATGCCCTCTTTTTTAGTATATAAGCCGGAGTCAAGCGAACAGTAGGCACCGTAAGTAAAGTGTGTGAATCGCTGTGAATTATAGCGTGTGTTTATAAAAGTAGTTAAGTTAAAATGACTGTGGAACCTCTGTGTATTGCAAAGTTGTATCGAGAAAGAATAAAGTAGTTTTATATAAGAAAGGACTTGTATCGATGATGTTTCTCGGAAAGAATTTCTAAGGGAAATTAACAAACAAGCAGATACGTAACAATATTATTTAAGTATTGATTAGTTCTGTTGGGAAAAAGACACCAAAAACATGTTCTTTATATCAATTATAAAAGCATCTTTCTTTCCAGAACGAATGTGGGCAACAGATGGGTTAGTAACCAATAGAACCGGAAATACGATAGTCTGTTCTTCCAATCACATGACAGCCTTCTCAATTCTCTTGGTAAGAAAACTCTTATCACTTCTATTTATAAACCTATATATTTTAACTGATTGAGCCTATCAATCTTATGTGTTTGATAATTTTATGAAATGCTACTCAAGGATTATCAGCGTATAGCTGTCCCTAATTTTGAACTAGGGGTAAGGCAGAAGTCAACAACACCCACTGTCAACTCTTGAGTTACTCTTGTCTGATCTAATAATATCACTTTTTTAGCATGCTTATAGCCTCGAAGTGAGGAGCATGTTTTTGTGGCAAGGGGACAGGAACCATGACCTTTGGACTCACAGTCCAGGCATGCTCATCACTTGGTAATGTCCGACGCTCCTGATTTTGCAACATCATTGAATCTATGTTAAATTTTTATCAGGTTCATATATATAACCATTTACTTGTAACTACACGTCTTCTTGTAATTATTGAAATACAAAATCAGAAGAATAGTAAAATCATTCTCTTAATTGAACCTCACACTAGAAATTAAAGTTTTTCTAGTATATGTTCTTTCAATGTAATTAACCAAATTTATGAAACCAAAAAGTGTGCCTTTCTAACTTAAAGATCAAAGCTTTGTAATTATAAGATCTAGTCAAACATTTGAGTCATTCTACTCTTTTCACAAAGCTTGGTTTGTTTTGCTTCGGATATTCAAAAGGGCTACTTGCATGTTAGCTGTCCCTAATTTTCAATTCATAGACTAGGAGAATCCACCTACACAACAGCACCTCCTACCAACTCTTGGGATACTCTAATGAAATAGTCGATTTTGACCGTTACTCTTATAACGTACCTTGGTCCCAAAATGCGGAACGCAATTCCTTCTCTTCACAATGAGATGCAAACCGTGGGTTTTTTTTATCCACAGTCTGATGCTTTAACCACTAGGCTACTCCCACCTCAATAACCACCTCATTTCATGGCAAATAACTTTCATCGCATCATTCGATTATGTCAGATACTTTTAGAAATTTTGTTTTGTTTCCAGTATTTGTTTGTGAACGCTTTAATGATTTCATTATTTTGTAGTTGTTATATTCAGCCACTCAGTTTCTAAATCCATTTAACGACAAAATGATCATGATGGCGTAGTTTAAATTACACTCCAATTGTTGTTTTTTTTTAGGATCCAACCCCAAATAATGAAATTAATTCAGACCACCAGGAGGCGCTGTCCATTATTTCTTACATTGGCTGTGTGGTATCTATTTGCGGCTTAATTATGACTATTCTTACCTATTTGCTTTTTCGGTAAGTTACATTTCTTTGTTTTTAAGTATATTTCCTATCATGTTCAAGAAATATGCTCTCCAAAACATCTTTTGGATACACGTGCAAGTTTTCCAGTTATGGCAAATGCTGTTGTAGTAAAGGAAGTTACATGTAAATGTCCTTGTATAATATAGTTATGTAATCAAAATTGTTCCTACATACAATGATTCTAAAGTATGAGTTACGAGAAAAAAGAATTTTGTTTGCTTGTAGTTAAACACAAACCTACACAATGCGCTGTCTGTGCTCTGCCCACCACAAGTATCCGAACCCAGTTTCCAGCAGCGTAATTCAGCAGACATACCTCTGTACCACTGGGGGACAAAAATGTTTGTAAAACGTTTGTATTTTATTTTGATTGTTTATTGTGAAGTACAAAACTATACAATGGTAAATTTGTGTTCTACTGTGCCCACAGCAGGTAACGAAACAACAGTGTGAAGTGTAGTGACATAGTGTTGTTATTTTAAAGAGAATCATCATGTACAACAACAGTGTACAGTGTAGTGACATAATGTTGTTACTTTACAGAGAATTACCATGTATAACAACAGTGTACAGTGTAGTGACAAAATGTTGTTACTTTACACAGAATCATCATGTATAACATCAGTGTACAGTGTAGTGACATAATGTTGTTACTTTACAGAGAATTACCATGTATAACAACAGTGTACAGTGTAGTGACAAAATGTTGTTACTTTACACAGAATCATCATGTATAACATCAGTGTACAGTGTAGTGACATAATGTTGTTACTTTACAGAGAATCACCATGTTCAACAACAGTGTACAGTGTAGTGACATAATGTTGTTACTTTACAGAGAATCACCATGTT